TGTTTCAGTCAAGGGAAAGCTGACAGTTGTAACATTACTAGTTGTAATGTTACTACTAAACTCTACGAGGTGCACTAAAAAGCAAACATAAGTTTTAAGCAAAGGCGTATTCTTGCTACTTTAGAGCAAAATGGAGAAAACATGGAAGGGGTGAGAATCCAACTAGAGTTATGAGATTTCATTCATTGTTTCTTTATTAACTACTGTCCCAGAATAATCCAATCTTCTAGAATCCTATAATAAAGGCAGGAATTAGTTCTTGAGACAAAAACTTTGATTATCAAGAAGACTCATAAAAAGAAGTCAACAAAGGTCTCTAAGTTAAGGGACTCTTCGATGAGTGGAAAACAGAGTCATCAAAAAAGAATTCAGGATAAAGACTAAGTTTTCACCTTATTCCCTGGACAGTTAGACCATCCAACCAGAGGACCTGGAGGAGGCAATGCTACCACTTCCTGGACTGGGCACATCCCACTGCCAGGAGCAATCCTAGAAATACTGAGAATTAGGTCAAGTTATTACTTTTCTCTCCTTCAGCTTTACCAATCTCCAATCAGTCATCTACCGGCCTCCAAAACGATCTTTCTGAAACACAATCGATCTGTCTTCACAATAAATTCAAGCTGCCTTGGATTGGCTACAAGTTCGTCCATGACCTTCCCTTATCACCCTCCTCAGCCTTGTCTCCATCAGTCCTCCACTCACACTTTCTGCTTCTGGATCACATTTACCTGAATCACCAAAAAATTTCATGACAATTTGGCTTCGCTGGCCTGACTTTAAGCACCTTCAAGGCTTCTCCTTCAAGCAACTCCTGGAATTCCACAGGCAGGTTTCCCTTCTGAACAAACCCACTCTTGCCGAGTTCTACACCTGGACACCAGGCAGCACCAGGGTTCACTGCTCCTCTAGGACACCCAATCAAGCTCTAGACCAAGGCCCATGGCCGTTTCACCTCTGCTCTGCCAAGGCTCACCTCCAGTGACTCAGAGACTTCAATATGCCAAAGCTGCAATACAATTTTATGGCAAAATGGAGGAGAACGTTTCTATTCCTTTCATGTAAATCTCCAGTAATGAAGGGGTGGAGGGTGTTACCAACAAGTTTAAATGCAGAGATTTAAAGAAAGTAGTTATTTCTGTTTTTATATATGGCAACTCTGTGTACCCAAGACACAGTCTTCTCAAGCTAGGGGACAAACACAAATGACAAACATTGTACTATATTCAGAGCTCTCTGTCTCTGACCTGTGAAGGTAAGGTTTGTCACTGTATCAGGAACTGTACATGGGATTCCTTCTCCCTGAAAGTTGAATTTTTTATCTTGAGAATCTGCTATCCCCCTCCCTAAAATCGAAGGTCACACTATGGGTTCTCCAGACCTGCTGAGATGTGTTTGTTTGGCTCCCACAAGCAGAAACATGATTTATTTTTCAGGAGTCTCACTATCCCCGAAAATAGACTTCCATCAGGCCTGACTCTGCAGTTTTCCAGATGCCCTCAGACATGCCTAGATCCATCAAGTAGACATGGCCAGTGCTTAAGCGGAGACCCAGTTACATCTTAATTTATGGGTTAAGTGGGAGAAGAAAGCATCTATGGAAAAGGAGGCATCTGAGCCATATTTTGAAGGCAGAGTAGGATTTATGCAAACACTGCAGCAAATGATTCATGAAGAGAAAGCATAACAGAGAAAACAGAACCATTATAGAGACCAAACAGCAAAATCATCCATTTATTCAAGTTGTGTTAAAATGTCCAGAGAAGGACATACTGACATTCTTTGAGCTCATACTGACTCACAGTAACAACTCAATAAATATTGTTAAATGAATAAATAAATGAATGAGTAAATTGTTTCATTTTCTTTAAGCAAATTAAATTTGGCTCTGAGCTCCTACTTGCTAGAGGCAGGAGGGGATTAAATGTTGGTCATTTTTGAGGGTGGTTTTCTTTCCTACTTGAGGTTTTGAAAACAACCTTGGAGGTTTATATAATATACACAAAATGAGGGATTACTCCATGGTGTTCACCGTCCGTACAGTTACATCCATCCTGTATGTGATACTACTGGGCAAACAGTCCTCTAACCATGTAGCAAGCGATGGTGCTCCAGGTGAGCTCAGAGATGCTCCCCACCAGGGCTCCCCGCTCACAAGAGGCCCAGCCACAGATCCAACGTTTGCTCCCAAATCTTCAGCATTAGTAATCCTCTCATAGACACCTCCCCATATTTGGTGCTTCCTACACGTAGGCCATGGATTGCTACCACTCTTAGAAATACCCAAAATCCTAACTAACCCTGTCTCACTCAGAGCAAAGGAAATGCATCCACCCACTTCTAGATAAAACTCTTTTGTTTCCTTGAACCAAAGCATCAGCCTCTCTCCAGGAGCTGATAAGCCCAAATAGAGTACCGAGTGCGTCACAATTTCTGTTTTCAGCTCTGACACATAAAAACTATGAACAATCCCTTAGACAAAGAATCCAAACTCAGAAGAGAGCTTTGGCTCTTACGACAAGGGACCTTGCTCTTTCAAGCCTGGCTGGCAGCCAAACAAGACCCAAAATCACATTGTAGCGTAGTA